CCGATGGTTCCGCGGGAGGGCCGGCGGCTGCTGCGAGGGGAAGGCGGCGGAAAGCGGGTAGAGGCCAAACCACCGCAAGGCCCTGCCCGGCGACAGCGCTTGAAGCGTTTGCCGCAGCCACGTTCTGGAATAATCGGCCCTCCAAAGCCGCGTGCCGGCTGTATTCCTCCGGTTTCCCCGTCTCCCTGCACGCAGCATCTCTTACGGCAGGAACCGGCCGCGTGCCTGAAGTCGTAATTCCGCTAAGCATTCACCTCAGTTAACACTGTATCAAAACTGCTGCAGCGCTGTAGGAGGAAGGGAAGCACCTTTACCTAAATCTAACGCAGAAGTGATCAGCGTTTTGGATTAGTTAAGAAATACCATCATCACATATGGCAACACAGTTTAGCGAGCATGTGCTTTGAATCACAGAGGAATTGATACACAAGTGTGTGTCATTTGTCTTGTTCTGAGACTGTAACAAAAAAAAATACTTCTAAAAAAGAAGTATTACTTCCAGTAAATTACATTACGTCTAAGTTTCCCTGAACTTGCAAAAGACGGTATGGTGTGTTTCATTTCTTGTAAATTGTTTGGGTGGGCACTGCACAGCACTTCCGCAAAGTTCTTTGAAATAAGGTGGGATAAAAAACACTGCATAAAAGTACAGCTTACTTAGAGGTGGAATTATTCTTTACTGTAAGCACGATGCAAAGGGCTCAAACGTGAGATAGTGCAAAGAGAGGAACGGAGATCTTACTGCCTTCTTCACAGAGCAACTGAGAGTTCTATTGGACACAAGTATTTTTCAGCATTTCAGATCTACCATCACATGGCGGCATCAGTCCTGAACACAGAACTGAACTGCAAGTTTTTTGCCTTTCCTCAGTCTGAAATTGGTGCAAAAAAACATGAACAGAGGGAAAGCAGCAGGATGAAAAGGAGGAATCACTTTTACCTGCAGCAATAATTTGAGAACGTAGTTGGTAACATAAACATTTCCTCCACTGTACATTAGGATAACACTGTTCCGCACATCACGATCACGGGTGGAATGATGTTGGATCTACTGGGACAGCAGGCAGAGCAGTTACTCAGAGACAGTGAAGATCTCTGCTCCAGCTGGCTTCATCTTCAACACTGAAACATGAACACAGTCTTTGGATCTGCAAACCTACGGCATGAATCCTCCCGAGCTGACGGTCTCTTAAGGTCAGCACAGTCCACGTCAGAAAAACTGAGGAAGGTTTCAGGGAAGTGAAGCCTACAGTATCACCTCATGGAACTTTGTATCCGGTTTCTCAGAGCTATGAAGAAGATTTCTTGATGTAAACTCTTACAGAGAAGATCAAGAGTCCTTTTAGATAGCTTGCTGCTGCCCAATCACTGCAAAGAACTATTAAAAAAAAATGTTCTTTTACACAACTATAGTTGTTTTTGTGCGAATTTTAGGAAAATTGAGAGAATTTTTTGTAAGACCACTCAAATTGACTGAGCTATTGAAGTGCTCTATCAAGTAACCACTGAAACCAAGCTCTTTTTTTCCAAGAGCAGCAAAAATAGAGCAATAGAGAAAAGGAGTCAATGTGCCCTGTGATCGTTCAGATGTGAAAATCTGCCCATCGCTCGTAAGCCCCTTATTGTCTACAAGGAGGATAATCCCCTGCATGTAGGTTTGTTGCCATGTTTTGAAAGACCTTGATTAGTCTTTATCTGTAACACTGAGATCCGATTCTTTCAAGACTGGCATAACCCAATACCAGTTTTGCTTGGGTTTGACTCACTCTTAGACTGGTGAACGTGGGCCAAAAGGTAACAAGCTCGGGGAGATGCTACTACTAAAATAGACAGGCTTTACATCTATATACAGGGTCACCTGAGATGCCTGCCGTCTTTCAGACAAGGCTGGTCACAGGGAGAAGGGTACATGTTGACAGGGTGAACCACAAGGGAAAAGATGGGATGTAAATCCAGAAACAGTTATTCAAACCCGATTCACGTAACTCACGGTGACTCAGGTGGCTTTCTTATTGAGGTTATGGAGCAATAGCTTAGCCAGAACTTCTCTACACCAAATACACAATTATAACTCAGCAGAACCATTTTATATGCAAACAAATTGGTAAGTACAATTAACAGAGCTGGAGCTAGGCCTGACCGAGACAAGTCTGAAGATCCTTGTTTGGCCAAATCCCAGTGATATGGAAATCGGAAGCTTGAATTAAGCTAGTCCACTAGACTGGAGTCCATGGTATTAGGAAATATGGATTACCACCTCAGATGCCTGCAGAGATCTCTACAGTGCTGAAAGAACAGAACAAAGTTCATCACCCACCAGAAGGACAGCAGTACACAGATGAGCTTTAGCCTAGAATTCTAGTAATCATTATCTGCCTTTCATCCACAGCAAATGCATTGTATGTCAGCTCTGTTACAGAATAGCTTACGAGAATGGATAATAGTAAGTTCATAAAATAAACACTGCATGAGCATAGACCACATGGAAGATAGCTGCAATATGCTTTACCTCCCACCCCTCTTCCCCGCGACGCG